GCACCCCTGCAGGTAAACATTGTCCTGTATCTTTTGGTAATAAAATTCTTTGTTTCTTTATAGTTTCTCATGAGTATGAATGAATTCCTAAATAATTCCTTTAAAAATGTAATTTTCAATAGAAAAAGGTATTTTTCAATTACAGTTGACATACGGTATATTAGTTTCAGGTGTACAACATAGTGATTAGACATTTATATACCTTAGGAAGCGGTCACCCAGATAAGTCCAGTACCCACCTGACACCTACATAGCTATATTACAGTATTATTGACAATATTCCCTGTGCTGTACTTTACATCCCTGTACATAGTACAGCATGTGTTTTGGGACTGGCTGCTTTTGTCTGGTTTTGTGCTTTTAAGGCTCATCCTTGTTAAGTGAGGCTCTAGTTCATTCATTTTTGTTCCTGCATCATGTTCTCTTGTACGAATATAACAAAGTTGATTTACCTACTCTACTGCTGCTGAACGTTTGATTGTTTCTACTGTTTTGATTATTATGAATAATGCTGCCTTGCATATTCTTGCTCATGTGCACCCGTTTCACGAGTACTATTCACTTTAAGTGGAATTGCTAGGTCATAGGATACACATATGAGATTCTTTATTAGATAATGCCAGTTTTCACCCAACTTTATTAAAACAGTGTATACTTCCCCATCTTGCCAGTTGTTGATATTGTCAGACTTTCAATGTTTATTTTTTGGTATGTGAATGTGGTATATAATAGTAGCTTTATTTTTCACTTTCCTTATTTGTAATAAGGTGAGCCCCTTTTCTGTACCTGTTTCAATCTTTTGCCCATTTTTCTATCAAGTTATCTGTCTTCCCCTTATTGATTTGTAGTCATTTCCCATAAATTCCAGATATAAGCTACTTGTTAGTTGTGTGTATTACAAATATTTTCTCTCACTCTCTCATTTGGCCTTTTTATCCTTTAATAGAGTCCTTTGAATGACAAAAAATTCTTAATTTTAATAAATTCAAATATAACATTTTTTCTTTAAGTTTCTTTTTGCTGTGATACTAAAAGCATTTTTTTCATCTTTCTTAAGATACCAAGATATTTCTTGAGGTCACCAAGATATTTTCTTATATTATTTTCTAAAAGCTACCTTTCCCATTTTTTCTTCTAGTCATTCAATATGACTTTTGTCCCCTACTTCCTTGAAAATGTAAATGCCTTCAAAGTGACATTTCCCACCTCACTCCTTCCCCCAAGCTCCAGTTGTTTGCTTGACCTGCTGGCTTGTACATTTCAAATGTACCAGATTCAGAAAGAAACTCTGATTCCTTACCCCTAAACCCAGTCCTCCTCCCCAATTTTTTTTTTCAGTCATTCAGGCTCAAAATTTGAGTCAACCTTGATCTCACCCTTTCTTTAGCTCCTAAATCTAGTCTCTCAGAAATTCCTATTGTTCCTTTCTACAAAAATTTCCTGAATTCAACTGGTTTTCACCATCTTCACTGCTCACTCCTCAATCCAAGTCTGTCCCATTGTTTTCTTGTTCCTGTGTCCCCTGACTCGTCTCCTTTCTACTTTCGTACTCTTGTAGTTCTTTCTCTTTAGAGTAGCCAGATAAATCTTTAGAAAATGGAAAATTGATCACAAAATCTTGTCTCAAATTTAGAATAAAATAAAAACTTCTTCATCTGGCCCACATGCCTATCTCTTCAATCTCACCTAACCAGTCTCTCTTTCATTAGTTTTGCTCCCGCCACATTGACTTCTTACTGTTCTTCAAACCCACAGATTTCTGGTCACCTCAGGACTTTTAACCTTGCTTCTTCCTCTGCCTGGCTTCCTCTTCTTTAGAACTGGTTTGACTACTCCAGAATACTGCCTGGTGCATTATAAAGCTATTGATAAACAAATGGAAGGATGAAAGAAATGAATGCCTGGTTAGATGGGTGAATTTTTCAGAGGAAGAACATTTATTAACACATTAAATGTTTTATTTTTTATTACATTAGTAATTTCAGTCTAATTTTTATCTTTGGAGGTAGGTTAAATGTAGAGGTAACCCTGGAAAAAGCCCTGTGAGCTCTGTTTACTTTGAAATTAATTCTTCAATTTCATGCAGTGCCTTTTTCTCCAAAATGAATTTCTACTCAATTTGAATTCGGATTGGCTTGATTTCTTTACTCTTGATGATTTGTTTCATGGTTGTACACCAGATTAAACAAGCAAACAAGTGTTCCAATACTCTGAAATTACTTTCTCACATAGATCTTATGTTCCCTTAAAACTATTTGTGTATTATGGGGAGAATCATAGATAGAAAGGGACCATAGAAATGATCTGCTTTGAGGCCTGACCCATTTCAGAAATCTTACAAAGTATTTCTAGAGGAGATCATCCCGCTTTTGATTAAATATCTCCCATGATAAAGGTCCTGTTTCTTTAAAAGATAATTGATTTTTTTTTAGAAATATCACTAGAAATATGTGGGGGGAAATGACCTGTTTTCCCCACTGGAGATTAATCAAACTGACTGATTAGAAATGGAAAGGATTGGGTTTTGAGATTTGTATTATGTAGACATATGAAAAACATAAAAAGAAAATTATTTGGATCTGTTTAGACCATTTATTATTTAGCAAACTGGAAAATGGGGATTGCATCGTGTAAAGAAGAGCCTGTGCCAGATTTAGATGAAAGTAATCTAAGTTCTTAGTTCCCTTCGCTCTAACCACAGAGTAATTAGCATGGCAAATTGATGCTCTGGAAGACTCGCTTTTGATATTATTATAAAATATTTTCTCTGAGTCTTCTAGGACCTCCCTCTTCTTTTGTTATTCTATAATAAATATCCTACCCCTTATTGTTGCTTCCATTATGTTATATGTTTGTCAACACTACCATTCTCTGAGTGTCTTAAGGGCAGGGGCTGTGTCTTGTTTATCTTTGTTTCATCAGTATGTAGTAGAAAGCCTGGAACATAGTGGGGCTTAATAAAATTTTAAGCTATTGATCTCCACTCTGTAATCAAGACCTCCAAGTGCAAGAAAAGGCCAATTGTTTACTCTAAGCTTTCTTGGATTATTCTGACTCTTTCATCAGTTCTCTTCACTGTTTTAAACTTAGAAGGATTCAGTTTGTTTGCCATGTTTTTTTTATCGCTTAGCTTGTGTGTTTTCTATATGCTTAACAGGATTCTCCCTGGTATTTCTAACTCTTTCTGGCAATGAATGAGGGTGCTAGAAAGTTTCTGCTGGTGTTTCAATAAGTAATTGAGTTTGCTTTATATTCTAAATAAGTACTTTCCTTTATACAGCTTTCAATATATGGGAATAAACAAAAATATATTTGTAATTATGTGACAGCATGTGCACACACACACTCTCAAACACACCAACACAGGCACAAAAACCTGGTCCCCTTGGGGCATACTCTAAATTACCAGTTTAATGTTGTCCTCACAGGGTGCAGCAAGGGCGTGTCAAGCTGGATGCTTGCCTCAGTTATAGAGCTTGATTATAAGTGCCAAGCCTTTAGAGTCTAGTTGGCAGTTCTCTTATTGGAGAACCAATTAAATAAATTGTTTTGGATTGTCCTTCATAAATCATAACTTCCATAAATACTTAGGCAGGGAAATAATTTTTAAGATTTATTTGAAATAAAGTAAACCAACAATTTTTTTAATACATTTCACCAAGAGTTGGTTAAATTTTCAACTTCTTTTCCTTAAAAGTAAATGACTTCAATATAGGTCTTACAATTTTACGTGAGGAAATACAAGAAGTTTTCATCACAGTGCATGTGGTTGTTCTGCTACCCAGGTGTCATAAGTTAGCTTTTAGAAGGAGGAAGCCCTGACACATAGATGATCGTGCATAACCACGCTTTAGCTATGCTAGGATCCCATAACAATTCAGTAACATTCATGATTCAGACTATATAAATTGCTGTGCCATTAACTTTTAATGTATCTTATTTGATTTGTGTGTGTGTGTGTGTGTGAGAGAGAGAGAGAGAGAGAGAGAGAGAGAGAGAGAGTGAAGAAGAGAGGGGGAGAGAGAAAAAGGGAGAGAGAAAAGTTCCTTTATGTCTCTAAGATAATTTCATTGAAATTAAGCTTTCTCTTTTCCCTCATGACTTTCAATTCATTATTTGGGTTTAGGTACTGAGGGTTCTTAAGCTCTCAAAAATAACTGCCACTAATGTTCTTAAGTTCTTAAAATTACTCTTACTTTTGTAAAAAAGCCTTGTGTGGTTGTAAGTTACCGGAGACAGTTGTATAGATGTATTTCATAAACTTCTTTATGGAGGAAATAAATTCTGTCCTTCACATAGATGAAGAATATATTTAATGAAAATTGTCATGAAGATTATTTATAATTTTGGGGGTCTTTGTTGAGGAGTGAATGTTTTAGCTTTAATCTTAAGTGCCTGAAATTCATCAGTTAGCTTCTCTGGGAGCGTGCTCTTACAGGATAAAGATTGCTGTACAGTGTGTACAATAGCTATATATTTAATTTTAGGACTTAACACCCCTATAAAATATTGAGGAAGCAGAAATTTCAAATAAATAGTATTTTTCTTGCTTCAAGTTGTTCTTTCTGTCTTGAATCTTGTTCTACCACTTTTTTTGGGTTTTGACACTTTGCCTGTTTATCAGCTTCAGTGAGACCTCCTCAGGGAAGAGGCCTTTGGGAGCACAGACGTGTCCAGGTTCCTCTAAAATCCCCTCTTGAATACCTGTTTTCCTCACTACTGGGACTTACCACAACTGTAATACAATTCTTACTTGTCACTAGTTTTCTATCTTTCCCCTGGCACGCAGCCTCAGCACTATGCAGCTTTCATATGATTTTCTTGAGGAAAATATAAAGTGCATAGTAATAAGGAAAGATTAAGTTGTTGGTGAAACCATATTTATGTAAGGGGTGTTCATAGGGCACTTGCAGTTTATTTTGCAGTTGAAAAGTGGAGTTTTCCAGTTTTTGACGGGCACACCTGCATACAGACTTTGCAACAGAGAGGCATTTATTGCACTAGATCCCAGTTTGTTGGGTTATCCAGTCTCGGTAGGCTGTGACTCGTGTGTACACTCCTGGCTTATCTGCCAGGCCACATTCTTGCCCCCAGCTTACAATCCCTACGAGGAACCAGAGCCGCCGAGAGTCCTGCTGTACTAGTGGGCCACCAGAGTCACCCTGAAGGAGAAAGAAACAGAATAATTATTTCAGTGTGAAGACAACCCCAAAATATTATGGAGTTTATTTCTATGGCAGTGGAAGAAGTCATATCCATGATGACAGTAATGTTAGTCTGACATTTCCTGTCACGGTATTGTACCAAGTCATGGGAACATTACAAAAATCTTCCGAGGATGCACATTGTTCCCTCAGGAAGTGTGAGAAGAAGAAGAGCATGTTGCCCAGGCTCCTTCAGTTGCCCGGTTGACTGCCAGTCATCATAATCTCTACGTCCTTTAGGGAGCCTTCCTGACCGTCTGTGCCATTCTTCCCCACTGCCCCCTTCCACCTTCGGGCTGGATTAGTATGTCACTGCCTGTGTTTCCGCATCTCACGAGTACCTTTTCCACTGCTTCTCCAGTATGTTACACAAGCCCATTGCAGTGCCTGTTTGAACTTGCTCCCACCGGGTCAGTTCCCCTCATTGCAGCAGCTGAACACCTCTGCAACCCTCACTGCCTTCATGATACTTTTTCAGTGTCTGTTTTTATGGTTATTCTGCAAAGTCCATCAGGGAAGGGGCGTATCCATCCAGGCACTGCTGTATCCTAAGCTTCTAGCCCACAGGAGATGCTAAGAAAACATTTGCTGAATGAATGAGTTTTTAGAAGTCTCACTTATCCTTCTATTCCTAGTACTCTCCCTGCCTGGTATCATTAAAAAATGTCTTTTGGTGAATAAACAGAAAGATATGTATATGCCCATGAGTAAAATACTCCTCATGAAATACTCACCAGCCAATTATAATTATAAACCAACCAGCAAATATGTGCAGATGCTCTCCGGTTGGGGAGACATTTTTAGTAGGTCCTGCATGCTGCATGATGGGATAAGTCTGTGAGTTCTGCAGTTAGATAGCCAGGATTTGAATCCTCCACTCACCAGCTATTTGACCTTCAGTAAAGCTATTTAATAGCTCCTTGTGCCTCAGTTTCCTCACCTGTAAATGTTTTTATGTGTTTAAATGAGTTTAACATATGTACTGCCTGGCATGTAGTCAGTACTAATAAAAGTCAGCTATTATTACCAAGTGTGCTTCTAGAATAGTTTGCTATTCATTTAACTGCTCTTAGTAGCTAGTTCTTTCATACCTGTTTAATTACTGGCGTAGGTGGGAAGCAGGGTCAGTGTGTGAATCACCAGCTTGCATGGCAAGCACTGCATGGAGCTGCTTGGCACCTGCCTCCTTAAGGTTATGCATGCGTGCTTCAGTTAACGAGTTCTCAGCACTTTTTCATCATTGTCTTTTTGCTGTTATTTCCTCTATAGTAAGAAATTTTTCTGTGTGATGTCTTAACCAAGAGTTGACAAGCAAATGTTAAAGTAAGAGGGATATGTCTTTTTTCCTGCATCTGTCACTGCCCGATTGCACAGACATTTGAGCTTGTGCCCTTTCTTCTAGACCATAGTTTTGCTGAGTGCAGGGAACATCATTGTTGTGTTAGCACAATGTCTGATGCACAGAAACTAACTCATGTATTTTCTTTAAATGAAATGAATGAACAGAAACGAACAGGATATCATTAACTCTTACGTAAAGTGCTATTTCTTCTTGAGGCACAAAGTCTATGCATTATAGTATTTCAGCTGAAAATCAGTGAGGCCTGGAGTAGAACACACTGGGAAGTGTCACGATGAGTTATGGCTTCAAGTAGGCTTGGGGGCAGAGCTGAGTTGTATATGCAGAAGGTAAAGTGCTTCATGAGTAAAGCATGAATAACATCCTTTTATACTCATGTGTATCCCTAAGTCAGTTCTAATTAATGCTCTTGGTAGATCTGGAATTGTCAGTGCAGTGATGTGTTGCATATTTGATTGCTGAATTATCTGGAAAACTACTATGAAAGTTGAAAATTTGTTGTTAACAGGGCTAGCAATAAAAAAGAAGCTGTTAGGGGAGCAAGAAGCATTCTCTGCCATAAAGTCATATCCACTTAAAGGGAATAAATGGCCATGAGTAATGAACAGCATCTTGAAAACTGATAATTCCCCTCACCTATACACAACTTGAAGTCAATAAAAATGTTTCATTTTGGGGAAAGTGGGTGTGAATTGGGGCCATCACAAAAGTTATGTAAGAACTACTTATTGATTTTTTAAAAAAGTGTGCATTAAATATAAAAGTAATGTTTAAGGAAAGAATAAATCTGGTGTTTCTGCATACAATTCCCAGGAAAACAGGAGCAAATTCCTCAAGAAAACAGATTGATTTTTCTTAATTCAAGAAATGTAATTTCTGATGCTAAGAAGTTGTTGCTATTAATATATGGGGTTGGGTTCCATACATAGGAATACAGTCTATTAAAATATATAACCACATCAATTATTTATATAACTTAATTAAAAATTTTAGTATTAAAATGTTATTTTAAAGGAATTTCATATTTATTGTTTGCATTTTTATATTTGGTTGAAAATTATAGGCTAGATCTAAATAGTGTTTTTGTTTTTCTCTCATTTGTGCTGTTTTACAATTTGAGAACTGTTGTAACTCAAGTAACAGCTTTTAAAATAAATTTTGTATCTTTAAGGTTCTGATACTCAGGTGTTATTTATATCTTAAAATCAATTATTGTTTGTGACTCTTAGATGAGTAATTAATTTATTTAAATCCTCATAGTGGTTAAAAGGTTGAGATTAAAGTTATTACTGCCAATGATCATGATCTAGGTTAATAACAATAAAAATAGATGAGATAGCTGATATTTCTTTGTTACTTAGTATGTGCCCTACAAATTTAATCTCCATCTACTCTTTAGTAGTATGTAAAAATGTTAGATATTATTATTACTATCCTCATTTTATTGATAAAAGAATTGGTTATAGAAGTTACGGTATTTAAACTCAGGTCTGTCTGGTTCTTGAGTATGGATTAATCACTCTGCAATTTGGCTTCTCAAAATTAGTATTTCATGATAAGTCAACTTCATAAAATAAATTTTATCTTTAAAATCTAAATGATACATTAGAGGATCAGGGCTGTGCATTTATCTCTATGCCTATCACAGTATCACATGCTAGTAAGAACTTACAAACTTGAATGAAGTCCTGGGCAGCATTGTCTTGAACTTACCCGGCAGGCGTCCACTCCACCTTGAGGCACTCCAGCACACAGCATTCCAGGCAAGACGGCTCCATTATAACTAGTGGGTGCGTTACATACATTATTACTTATTATGTAGACCCGTCCTTGCTGTAGTTCTCTCACTGTGTTGCCTGTTAATTATAAAGCAGAAAGGAAATGGACTTCAAAATAAATTAATGACTCCAAGGTGAATATGGGAAGGAATAAATGTACTCCAAACATTATTTCTTATTCAGAAAAAAAGGCTATTAAAGATGTACTTAGGAGCCTCTTCTCAGCAAAGTTACCTCTAAGTAGAGGAAGATAACCTTTTTACACAGATCAGTCTCCCTCTTTTGCTTTAGCTTTGTGATGTCTCTTAGACCTTAAGAGAAAAAAATAAATCTGCTATCTTAAAATTGTCTGGGAGCATGTAAATTATCTGCTGGCTTTGAATTAGAAAATTACATAATGAATAACCTTTAATCTAGCCACAAGGGAAACTAGTCTGGTTTCAGGGCTAAAGAAGTAATTTATTTTTTAAAAATACGCTTTTATTGATTTCAGAGAGAGGAAGGGAGAGGGAGAGAGAGAAACATCAATGATGAGAGAGTCATTGATCAGCTGCCTCCTGCATGCCCCCTACTGGGGATCAAGCCCAAAACCCAGGCATGTGCCCTGATGGGGAATCAAAGTGTACATGACCTCCTGGTTCATGGGTTGACGCTCAACCACTGAGCATACTGGCCGGGCAAGAACTAATTTATTTTATATTGATGTTCCCTAAAATGGCACTGCTATTTTGTCGACTGGCACAAATTTTCATATACTACACCAAATGACTTTGGGCCATCGGAACACAACAAAATATTTTCTTGGACAATTAAATTTTTGTGTTTTTCTGGAGAAGCTTCTACAACATGGATAAAAACCCATGAAAATTGTCAATGCTATCTTTCCACTCCCTGGCTGATGATACTCTCGTTTCCCCCTTGGCCCTATTTGCTCCCTCATATTGCCCTCATATTTATTTCCATTTTATTCATTCAATAAATAAATCTGAGCAATGCACATAGAGTGTCTTGCTTGAGGCAGGATTTATTTTATCCCAGAATACCTTAAATGGCTTTTAATAGCTTAAAAAGTATTAAAACCTTAGAGAACACTTAGCCAAATCCTCTTTTTAAAAAATGTTTTATTTTTTATAGGGGAACCATTTGAGTCACAGGGAGTCTCCGCATCATTGAAGAACTCATGTTCTTTTTTTTTTAATCACTTTATATTTTCCTATGAAGAACTCATGTTTCTTTATCATTTTATTTTACATTTTCCTATGCGTTTGGGAATTCTCCATAGTAGCTAGGGGCATTGCTTTGCTTTGCTGAGGAAACTCAGGAATAACTACAGTTGAGACTGACCAGAATGTAGGATGGATATGTCTGTAGAATCTATCTTTCAGGTGTTCCCTAATTTTAAAAAATTATATAATAGCAAGTACCAGGAGATTTTGTTTTTGTTTTGTTTTTCCTGAGATACTTACCACCAAATGATTGAGATCCCCATCCTGTTACATAAGCAGTGGAACCAGGTGAAACATTCTGGGTAGCCTCTGGGAGACACACTCTATGGATATTTTTGGTAAAGGGGACAGCTCCGTCAAGTTTCACAACGGCAATATCGTTTTCATGAGTTACAAAGTTATAATTGTTATGGATCAAAATAGTGTTTATCCTTTTTCTCTGTGCAGGAAATGCTATGGAAATACCAAATGTGGCAGTCCATTGATGAGGATCAGAGTGGCTAAAAAAAAAAAAAAAAAAAAAAAA